TACTATTAGTTAAGAGATTTACTTTTTAAATTGTAATTTAATTTGAATTTTTTTTCTGAACTGTATACATAGAGAGATAGGATATTTTCATTTCTAACAATTTCCTATCCAATATCTATTTTCAATCATTATTATTTATTAGTTCTATCTCTCTCTTTCAATGCTGCTTTAATTCTATGTAAATCCATCTACTTTTGTTCATATTTTATTTAAATAACAAAAATAAACAATAATCAATCAATTTGTGTATGAGGAAAATAGTCTTTTATATATTGAGAAACTTGTTGTTTTCCATGAGAAAAATTGTCAGAATATCCATCATCTTCTTGTAATTCTATACATAAATTTACGTAATTTATTTTTGCAGAATTATTTCTTGTTCTATTTGTTGTGAAATTGTGTGTCACGTTTTGTCACTAATTCATGATCCATAATAAGACGAACATCAAATGATAAATAAGTTAGAGTATCGCATAAGAATTGTTCATAGTAATCTATGCAACTTTGAATAAGATCAAGTTGTTTGAGATAAGGATATTTAATGATTTTCTAAATTCTTTATTAATTTGTCGTTTTTCATTACATACAGTTAATTCTTCCATCAATGGAAATGATTTCTCAATTCGAAGAAAAAATTCATGTTGAAAAGGACGTTCATCAAATAATGATACTTTTCGAACATATTTAAATACTCCACCTGAAAAATGATTCGTTATATCATGATAATATTTGAGTGTATATGGATATGAATAAATACGACAATAACCTTTTTTTTCTTTTGGAAAATAATCACTCCAATAGATAATTTGTTTATCTTTAAAATCTTTAAATGTCTTTTGAATATCTTCATTTTATGGTAAATTAATTTCATTATAAAAACTACTTAATCAGTGAATATTAAATGTGAATTTATTTAATTGTGACATATGATTAATAATATTCATCTTCAAATCATTACCATCAAACAAATATTTTTCTTTCATCAATATTAATATACAAATCAACCTTTTAGAAATTTGACATTCGATGTAAAAATGGCACAACTAATTCATCATAAACAAATATTTTCGATTTACAATGTAGCCAAAAGGATTTTAAATTGGCTAGTTTTTCCTAAAAACAATATTATTAATTCATTTAAATTAGATATTAATTGAAATAAAGAATTTACCGTATTATTGACACTTCTGTTCATAAAGTTAATCACACCAACATCAACATAAAGTGTATGAAGTTGATTGAAATCTCCATCAAGTAAATAAAGACAATCATAAAAAGTTTTCAAACAGACATGGAATTCTAACAAATTTCTAGAAATAACAGTTGGACATCTAAAACAAAAGGATAATCGTTCATCGGAAATTGAAGATCGACCAAAATTAAAATATTCTAAATTAGGAAACATAGTAAAGATACGATTAAAAATATAATTACATTATTGTTTGTTAGATAATCTTGTGTACTCTTCCTACTAATATCGATAGTAACTGATAAAAGTTGATTTTTCAATGTACGAATTATGTAAGTTTCATCTAAACAATGATAAGAGTAAAAAATTCGTTTTATATCAATGATTATATTTATCTATAGTTTATTCGACTATCTCTTTAGTGACAACCTTTTCTTCTCTACGTATTAAAAAATACAAAATGAAATGAAAAATGATTTTGAACTTAGTAACATTTGTAATCATCTAATTAATGGAACCAGAAATTAATATATGAATTTATTTCATTTATAGATTTTATATGTCTATTATTGAAAGAATAAAACAAAAATATCTTACCATTAAAAAGATCTATCGCTATCTTTGATCGAATATTATGTAAATTAATTCTATTTAAATTTGGATAATTTATAGCACGAAGAATACCTTCCATTGAAACTGATTCAAAATGAAGCCATTGAATTTTTTGATGAATTTTAGGTAAAATATGTGAACAAAATCGATAAAGTATTAGATAAGATAATGAATAAACTAAACCATCCGATGTTGACATAAAAAGAGAGAAATCATTTGTAAAAATCGAGTCATGTACTATTTTATTTAATCGTTTATTGACACCTGATAAAGAATAAACTATTTCTGCATTAGACAATTTTTTAAAAATATAAATAAGAATTTCATCTGGTAAATGATTCAATTGAATAGATGAATATTCCATGTTCGTCTATAACAATATCTATTTTGCTCAACTCATAAATGTCAGTATTTATATTAACGTACTCAAATGTTCTATCTGACCGATATCGTCCATAGAAACAACGACACATTTTTTTATAATCTAAATTGACAATGAATGAATTGATAATCAATCGAATAATTTTTTTTTCTCTCTGTTCCGTTGACTGAAGGGGCGATGATATA